TAAACAATATGCATTAACGTTAAACACACTTTACAAAAACGATAAATAAAATAAAATATTTTCATTGAATCTCTAACAATAGAAATCCAATATATCTAATGTTTACTTTATTTCTGTAATTATTTTAAAACAAGATTTGTGGGTTGAGCCAACTTTTCAAAAGTTTAACATTAATAAAATTTATTACTATATCAGTCACAATATAAATTTGATCTTTATATCCTTTTAACTAAATGCTAATTCCGCGCCGATCGAATCCGAACATTGTTGCCAACACTATGATTCGAAAGTACTTTTAAAAAAATTGTGACCGCATTGACAGAAAATGGAAAGGTCACACAGCCTTTATATAATAATAATAATTCGAAGAAAAAAATGTCCTCTGTTACACTGATTCGTTAATAATTCGCATTATTAATAAAAAAATTTTACCTATTTATTTATTATCTAGTTCATACCAAAAAAAAAAGAAAAGAAAGAAAGTCAAAACAGTAATAGTAGAAATAGTAAAAGAATTCCTTATGATTCACGCCAACAACATTTTACTACTTTCAAGAATTTGTCAATGCTAAAAAAGTTATTTCCAAATGCGACCAAATTATTTCACTTGGAATCAATTATCAAGTTGCAAATATAAAAGACATTCTGAGAGTAATAATAGGATTTTCATCATATATTTTACAAAGGTTTATATTGTAGGTTTTTTTTGGAGTGACATTAATCCTTGTTCGACGATGAAACATTTAATTTATAATAATATAATCATTTTAATATGTCAAATCCATAACACTTCCATTTTAAATACTTTTAATTAATAAAGGCTAGCATAATTATAAAAAAACGGTCACACACAATAGAATTTTCCCGAATCTGCATATCAAACTTGAAATATCATTTTAAAAAGAATATATTATCAAGAACTTTTAGGCGGTGCCAATTTCTATCCATAGGAAAGTTCCAATAACATTATATTGAGAAATTGGTTCTTTCATATTGATCGGAATAGTTATGAGAAATAAAGAAGAAAAAAAAAGGAAAAATAAGCAAGAAAGAAGAGAAAGACTGGCCATTAATAATTTGTTATGTTATAATATCATGAATTAGGATCTTTTGATTTATGTTGGAATGTATAAACAATTGTGTGAATGCATTTTTATTAATGTACATGTATATTTTTTCAATAAAACAAAAAACCCATTTTTTTTTAATAATCATGAAAAAAATCATTGAACGTTTCATTAGCATTAATTATATCCAGTGTTTGTTTTTCGGCTCCAGGGCTCCAAATATCATAGATGTAATGCTTAATGAACATCTCTTTCAACATCTCCATCTCTTTCAGATCTTCTTTAGTTGGAGACCAGGTAATGTTATTTAATTTTTCATGAAAGTAAACATTAGATATATTGGATTTCTATTGTTAGAGATTCAATGAAAATATTTTATTTTATTTATCGTTTTTGTAAAGTGTGTTTAACGTTAATGCATATTGTTTATTTTTTTGAACTATCTATTGTTGTTATTATTATTATCATCTTGCTTGATATGTAAATTAATTAAATTAAATACTCCACCCGCATGTGTTTTATATTTTCAGGTAAAAACC